ATCGTAGCAGAGATGGCGCCATATTCACGGATAAATGGAGGCATGTGGCAACAGCCTTCTCTTCTCCTACTGCAACCCCAGCTGCCACTCGAAGGTTGTAAGGTTTGACTGATACTGCGTGCGCGCCTGAACACAAACTGCACTCCGTCAGTAAGCGAGGACGTCGAATTGGCATGGCTGGAGAAGACTTTGGAGCATTAAGATCCAGCAATAAACCTCCAACACTCTAAGGCGACATCCACTAATCTCCTTACCCTCTTTGAGCAAGGTGTAGCCGGCGTAGTTCTGATCCAGGAGCCATGGCTGCGAAGTAACGATATCGCCTAAATTTAACCTGAAACGAATTGAAAGCACTAATTTTAACTTATTTCCGCAACGAAAACATTGTGACAGTTAGCCCAGTGGGCGGCGCCAGAAAGCTCTGCATCATATCCGCATATACGACGGATGACGACGAGGTGGAACGCCTCCACTACAGCTGCGTGAAACCATAGCAGAAGCGAAACGATGGAATCTCGATGCTATTATTGGATCGGTTGCAAATTCGTAGCGCTAGGTCTAGGATTGCTCAGATATCAACGCGAGCGGTGAGTCACTTTTTTATTATATTCTAAGTGAGGAGTGCAGGAACTACTGCCAGAGAACTCCAAGGAGAGCTTAAGCATCGAAAGCTCGATTGATGATTTGGTGAAAACAGCGCCATCGAAAACTAATGGCCGCTGAGTAGACCCTGAGCAAAGTCCGACCTTAATGGTGGACGATGGAAATCTCGAAACTCAGGGCGCCGAGCAGCGCCTTTTCAATAAAGCCAGAAAGAGTAGACAACACTTTACTGGGAACACTACAAGGTCGGACTGGGTATCTATAAGTCCGAGATAAGAAAAGCCAAAAGTGAGTAATGCAGATATTTCTGCGAAACCGTAGGGGGTTGTCATGAATCATCTTGATTTAGGTGAATCCGCGCGTGGAGTCCCGTATCCTTGGGATACTTGCGAGATAAAGAGCGCAATTGGACGATGAGCGGAGAGGAATCGCTTAAGCTACTCCCTGACCTCATTTCATCCAATTCTACCACGAATGAGCCTACGAGTTATGGTGAGGTCGACTACCCTACACCTTCCAATGAACTACTAGAGAAGCGCCGGCTTCTCATGGCAATTGACTCGTTCAAGCTTTTCAAGGCACTTGACCGGATGACACCATTCCTGCGCAGCTGGAAAACGCTGTAGAGATGTCTTATCGTTAGCTCACTCCCATCTTGTCGAGCTGCATAGGAAGAGTGTACATCCCCCAAAGCAGAAAAAACCACATAGTTATCTCCGTGGGGCTTCAGACCAATCAGTCTCACTTTTGAGATACTTATTGAACTGCATGTAAGAAACGGGATTCCTCGAGAGCGATTGAGCTTCTCTCAACCCAGCGTACGGGCACTCGACAATTCGCAAAAACTTCGACTGCTGCTGGACCCAACCGAATCCTACTCCACGCTCAACCCCACAAGTGGCGAACGAGAGAATCTGCAACCTTTGAAGCAGATCTCCAATAAACATCTTCACGAACTGATCAAGCTGAACGGGAGAGTTGGAGGAGGTGTCCGATGTCGCGAACTCATACATATTTTATGTTCTCTGACTGCCGCTTCTCTGGAGCGTCTTTCAGGAGAGATATTTTTCTTATTTGGCACTGTAATCGCCAAAGCGATCCCCGCAATAAAAGAGGCAACCGACTGACTACGCACCAAAGTTTTCGTGATTTGAAGGGTAAATGTCTACTCTGATAGCCAAGCGGTAATCGAGGCTCTTAACAGCCTCGGAGTACTTTAAAACCAAGCTCGCAAGTCATCCTCGAGGTCATCACCTTGGACAGGGAGGGCGGCCTGCTCCTGGAATGATGAACTCACATTCGACACAGCCCGTGCCGGGGGAAAACCTCGACATGCAAAGTTGCTGGGTGCCTGCTGCCGGTTGTTAATCGCAGGCGGTCAAGGGAGCTTCTGCAGCTGGCCAAGCGCCAGCTCTCGATTTATACAATTTACGGACCGGACATTGTCGGATCCCTATTCCCCAGCTTTTGGGAAGATGAGGTGGAATCATATCAAAACCTCTCTCTCAGTAGTTCACAATCAAGGGTCTTTTATGATTAGGAGGAAGTATGAATCTTGCCATTAGAGCAACTGTAATAATCATTTTTCTAACATTCTTTGTCCGCCCCTGAGGATAAGTTGCCATTGGTGTAACACGTGATTCTTCAAACAAGGGATTTTTTTCCAATTTGTCATTTAATCAAAAAAGCTGTGATGAATGATAACCATAACAAGCTGTATTATAAATATATAATTGCAAGTCAATTAAAATAACTCCGTAAATGGAAATCGAGTTTCATGTTTTTGCGCTATCAATGATTTTAGTTTTTCACTTATAAAATTTACCTATAAATACCAGGCGAACAAACCAATGATTGCCAATGTTTCTCAAAATCTGGTGAATAATCAATTAGTAAAATTTCGCGATAACGTCGCTAAAGCACTTTTCCGACATGAAGTACTCTGTGTTCGCAATTATCGTCGTCCTTTGTTACCTAGTGTCCTATCAAAGGTAAATCTTGAAAAATTCTCTGAACAAAACTATGATTGACTAGAAATAATTTAAGGCTAAGCAACCATACACTGTGAAAATTGAAGACTTCGAATGTTTTAATGGCTTGACGGAGACCCTCTTTAATTGTGAAATGAAACTCGTTGGGCGACAACGTCTACTTAATGGCACCATGACATTCGGCGAGGATATGGCTAGCGATCACTTTAAATACCAAATAGAGATATTTAACGCACCACCCGGCGATAATCAGTTCAAGCGATTGCCTATGGGTGTGCCGCGCACCCCTATTTGTGAGGGTTTTAGAGCCTATTACGGCGAATTTGTGCAGCCGTCGTTTATTCAGGAGGAAAATACCAATCTGCCCTTTATGCCCAAGGAGGGTCTTTGCCCCTTCCCAAAAGGTGAATACTGGTTTAAGGATGTAGAGCTTAACACAGACTTATGGCCAAATCCAATACCGCGTGGCATAATAAAAGCAGTGTTAACTTTTTCAAAGACGAGGTTAATGTTGGTAGCGGTGAAATAAAAATGCGTATCGAATATCGTGAATAAGCGCCGAAATAGTGGAGTTCCGATGGAATATTGATTTGGATTGTGAAAATTTATTAGCTATTGAGGAGTTCTAAGCGAATATTTTTGAAATATACGACTACGTTCGCAGCAATTTATGTAATTAAAGTTTTTATCAAATTATAATGAAAGTGAAGTGGAAATCTAATTAGATATATGAAGAATTCATAACCTTTTGACGCTCTCAGCGACAAATCTATCTCTCATTAATTGGCTTTTAAAGGGCATTGATCAGTTGAAAAATATACCGGTTCGAAATGTGCGTAAGGATTTCTGCAGAAAAGAGTCAGAATTAATTCACACTATACATTTCAAGTAGAGGTGTTCACCTCCCCACTGGGCGATGATCAGTTCAGGCTGTTGCCTATGGGTGTACCGCGCACCGGCGTTTGTGAGGGTCTTCGGTATTTGTACACCAAACAGGTGCAGCCGTCGGTTATTCAGGGGAAACACACCAATTTCCCTTTTGTGCCTGAGGAGGGTCTTTGTCCTATACCGAAAGGTGAATACTTCATAAAAAATATAGAGTACGACACCGATTCTTGGCCAAATCAAATACCGCGTGGCGTTATTAAAACAGTAATAACATTTTTCAAAGACGGGGTAAATATTGGCGGCTATGTAATACGTATGCTCGTAGAAGATCGTGAATGAGCGCAGAGATATTAGATATGGAAATGATTGATTATGAAAATTATAAGCTATGAATGTAAAGTGAATATTTGAAATAAAAATTGTAGTATATTTGCAGCAAATAATTAAAGATTTTTGGAATTTGAACGATGGTATGGGTTGGAAATTGCAGGTAAGTTAGAAATAGTTTCTGAGGGAAATATCTTCGAAAAGATAGGTTGTCTTGGTATTAACCAAGAGTAGAGAAATCTCTAGCGAGCATAAAAGCGAGCACCTACGTATGGTCTTCAATATAAACGCATATTACCTATCTTAGGCAAATAAAAGATTATTATTATTATTATATGTATGTGCGTGGAAATACCAAAGGAGTTGAAGATACCTCAACTGGATGATTTAAATGCACACCGCATATTTATCCTGGAAAGGGTAGTGTGCCTAGATCGGCTTGGTTAGGAAATAATCATTGTATTTCACGTTAACTGGTGGTATGAGAGACTAATCGCAAGAAAAGAGAGATATGGAAAATGTAAGTAGTTTTGGGTTTACTGTGCCGAGCTTCCTGGGACTGCGCAGGTTACAAAGTGGATGAAGGGAATGGTGAGTCCCGAATGGATACGCACAATGTGTCTCAATGTCCATGATGAAAAATGATAGAATTAGGTAACTATTTAATATTTAAGCGTCCGAATATCGCAATGTAGGCAGAATAAATTACTATGGGTTCTTATATCGTAGCAGAGATGGCGCCATATTCACGGATAAATGGAGGCATGTGGCAACAGCCTTCTCTTCTCCTACTGCAACCCTCAGCTGCCACTCGAAGGTTGTAAGGTTTGACTGATACTGCGTGCGCGCCTGAACACAAACTGCACTCCGTCAGTAAGCGAGGACGTCGAATTGGCATGGCTGGAGAAGACTTTGGAGCATTAAGATCCAGCAAATAAACCTCCAACACTCTAAGGCGACATCCACTAATCTCCTTACCCTCTTTGAGCAAGGTGTAGCCGGCGTAGTTCTGATCCAGGAGCCATGGCTGCGAAGTAACGATATCGCCTAAATTTAACCTGAAACGAATTGAAAGCACTAATTTTAACTTATTTCCGCAACGAAAACATTGTGACAGTTAGCCCAGTGGGCGGCGCCAGAAAGCTCTGCATNAAATAAACCTCCAACACTCTAAGGCGACATCCATTAATCTCCTTACCCTCTTTGAGCAAGGTGTAGCCGACGTAGTTCTGATCCAGGAGCCATGGCTGCGAAGTAACGATATCGCCTAAATTTAACCTGAAACGATTTGAAAGCACTAATTTTAACTTATTTCCGCTATGAAAACATTGTGACAGTTAGCCCAGTGGGCGGCGCCAGAAAGCTCTGCATCATATCCGCATATACGACGGATGACGACGAGGTGGAACCGCCTCCACTACAGCTGCGTGAAACCATAGCAGAAGCGAAACGATGGAATCTCGATGCTATTATTGGATCGGTTGCAAATTCGTAGCGCTAGGTCTAGGATTGCTCAGATATCAACGCGAGCGGTGAGTCACTTTTTTATTATATTCTAAGTGAGGAGTGCAGGAACTACTGCCAGAGAACTCCAAGGAGAGCTTAAGCATCGAAAGCTCGATTGATGACTTGGTGAAAACAGCGCCATCGAAAACTAATGGCCGCTGAGTAGACCCTGAGCAAAGTCCGACCTTAATGGTGGACGATGGAAATCTCGAAACTCAGGGCGCCGAGCAGGCGCCTTTTCAATAAAGCCAGAAAGAGTAGACAACACTTTGACTGGGAACACTACAAGGTCGGACTGGGTATCTATAAGTCCGAGATAAGAAAAGCCAAAAGTGAGTAATGCAGATATTTCTGCGAAACCGTAGGGGGTTGTCATGAATCATCTCGATTTAGGTGAATCCGCGCGTGGAGTCCCGTATCCTTGGGATACTTGCGAGATAAAGAGCGCAATTGGACGATGAGCGGAGAGGAATCGCTTAAGCTACTCCCTGACACTCATTTCCCATCCAATTCTACCACGAATGAGCCTACGAGTTATGGTGAGGTCGACTACCCTACACCTTCCAATGAACTACTAGAGAAGCGCCGGCTTCTCATGGCAATTGACTCGTTCAAGCTTTTCAAGGCACTTGGACCGGATGACACCATTCCTGCGCAGCTGGAAAACGCTGTAGAGATGTCTTATCGTTAGCTCACTCCCATCTTGTCGAGCTGCATAGGAAGAGTGTACATCCCCCAAAGCAGAAAAAACCACATAGTTATCTCCGTGGGGCTTCAGACCAATCAGTCTCACTTTTGAGATACTTATTGAACTGCATGTAAGAAACGGGATTCCTCGAGAGCGATTGAGCTTCTCTCAAC